GCGCGGTTGGGCAGGAAGCCCACCGGGCGCCACATCGGCTGGGAGGCAGTGGGGGGAAGCGGAGCGATGGCCTGGCCTCCCAGCAGCCCGGGAGCCTCAACTTAACTGCTGCTGAGTTGTTATTTGTCATTATTTGTTTTTTGGCGCCAGGCTAAGACCTTTTTATTTAAACAATATTTTATTTATTTATTTATTTATTTATCTATTCGAGTTGTATCCTGCCTGTTTCCTACAAAGGGCTCAAGGCAGCTTACATCTCCTCCTCCATCTTATCCCCACAACAACAACCCTGTGAGGTAGGCTGGGCTGTGAGTCTGTGACTGGCCCAAAGTCACCCAGTTGGCTCCATGGCCGAGCGGGGACTCGAAGCCGGATCGTCTGAGTCCCAGTCCCATGCTCTTAGCCACTACGCCACACTGGCTCTATTAAATTTCAATAACTTTTAACTATAGGTTTTAATTTGCAGCCAGAATGAATCGGGTTTTTAATTTGTATAATCTGTATTTTTGTATTATGTTTGTTTATTTATGTAAGCTGTCCCAAGGCATTAAGCGATGGGACGGCATACAAAAACTCTAAATAAATAAATAAACTAACTAACTTCCACCTTGCAAAAGGAAGCATTTGAGCAAGCGGGACGGAAGAGGCCACGTTTCTGGGCCGTGGAAGGATGCCCAGGCTGCTGGGAGGAGCGGGAAGCGTGGCCGCGGCCGTGGCTTGGACCCCCACGATGACCCCGACCCACAGACTCCTGAGGCCGCCCGGTGCGTGGGGCTCACTTGCCAGGCACAGGTGGAGGGGCCCCCCTCACGTTGCTCCGACGCTGATGGAGCCCCCCCCCCGGGATTTTAGAATGGGGCGGAGAGGCCCCCTTTGGATTTAGGACTTTAAATTGGGTAGCCGTTCTGCTGTTGAACTGTCTGGAAGTTTTCAAGGGGGATGCTGGCTCCCTTTCCGAGCACGGGAGCAATTGCCACGCGAAACTGCGTGGCCCTTTTCAGGGAGCTGGTGGCGAGCTGCCTTCAGATGCCTCTGAGCTCCTTGCTGACCAGCGAGAAGCCAGAGGAGGCCGGTGGGCTGGCCTCCTCCCCACGTTCCGGGGCCTCTGCCCTTTCGCCCGTCATGTGCCACTTTTACGACTTTGGAACAAAGAAGGCTCAGGAACGACGCCAGCGAGCAGGGGGCATCCTGCATCGTGCCAGCCGAGCCGGGAGCGACCTCGGAGCTGCCCTGCCCGGGGGCCCGATCCATGCGGGATCGGCCTTGTGGAGCCGAAAGGCTGCTTCCCCAGCCGATGGCTGTCTGGCCTCCCCTGAACGTGTCTGGCCAGGAGAAGCCCACCTGGCCACAGGTAAGTGGTGGCCGGCACCGGCGTCCTGGCCACTCCTGCCCGTGGGCCGAAGTCCCGCCTCGGGGGCAGCTGGGGCGTCTGCGGCGTCTTCCCCCGTCCAGGGATCGCGGCCCCACTGGTCACCCCAGCCGTGCTCCTTCCGAGCCCAAAACCGACAATCTGATGGCAGGTGCAGGGAGAGTGAGGACTTCTCCAGGCGGGCAGGGAGACCGAGCTGGCGACGTGAGCTGCCGTGCTAGATCCTCGTGGAACTGGGAAGACTGGGAACCGAGCGTGGGAGAAACCTCTGCCGTTTCTGTACTATCTCTGCATGTGCACACCTCCATATCGGGAGTGGTGACCCCGCGGCCGTTCAAATGTTGCTGGACTCCTCCTCCCATCATCCCCAGCCAGTGTGGGCAATTCTCAGCAATTATGGGAGGCGCAGTCCGCAAGTTCCCCCACGCAGGTATTCCTGTGAGGTGGGGCAGAGGGAAGCCATCCCACGCCCCCTCCGATCTCTCCTGCCCCAGAAGCGCCGCTCAGCCCAGCGCCTGGGGCTCGGGCACGGGAGACGCAGGGGCGGCCGCCCGCCTGGCCGGCCCTCCCTGGTGCAAGCGAAGCAAGATGAGGAGCGTCCCTGGAGGGAGAGACGGAGGGCAGGAGGAAGGGGCCGGGCAGCTGCGCACACTACCTTGATCAGTGAGTGAGGGACATTGTTCCTGTCGACCTGGAGCAGGTTCCCAATCAGGGGCAGCGGGGCCGGTCCCGGCGGCAGGCGGCTGTCCTGCGGCACCTGCCACCACGCCAAGAGGGCCAGCAGGCAGGAGAGGCCGATGGCCAGCAAGAGGGTGGCTCCTCCGAGGGGATCCATGGGGGCCCGTGGAGCTCCGGGGAGGAGAGAGCCTGGGCGCTATATAGCCTTCCGCATGGAAACCTGGCACCCGAGTCCAGCTTGGGCGGCTGCCTGACACACCCCCACTGGCCCGCTGTCAAGCCAGCTGGAGGAGGTCCATCCCCGGTCCAAGGTTTGTTCTGAGCCTCGGGCTCAGCCAGCCGGGTCAGGGCAGCGGGCGCAGGGCCCCCGGGGGTGCGCAGTGTGGAGGGCACGTGGCACGGGGCCCCCGAGGGCCGACCTCACGGGGTCCTGTGCAGGACACCGCACCCGTTCCCTCGCGCGTCGCTTCAGCTTGGGCAGGGGGGCAGCGTGGGGCAGGCAAATGAGTGGGAAGAAAGGGGTTAAGGCAGAGGGGGAAGGAGGTGTGGGGAGCGGGGGGGGTGCCCAGGGCAGAAACGCATCGGCATACCTAGGACAGGTGTACCTGAGGAACAAGACTGGCAACCTCAGCTCCTGACTGGATCAGAGGTTAACCCCGTTCTTGCCCGTTTCAGGTGCGCGCTGGTTTAGCTCTGCCCGCGGCAGCCCGACTTTTTCCTCCGGTTTGGGGATGGCCTGAGCGAGAGGCGCCCCCCTCTGGAAGGGCTGCTGCCCACAGGCCAGACATGGCTGGCCACAGCCTCCCCTGCTCCGGGGAGGGACGAGGGGGGCTGGCTGCCTTGGGAGGAAGGGAGAGGGGGCTCCGTGGGCCCAAGAAGGGCAGCTCCATGGGGGGCTGGCCTGCCCGCCCGCCTGTGGGGCTGGGCATGCAGCCGCGGTGGTGGAGGCAGGCCGTGGCAGGGGACTGACGGTGGAGCAGCCCTCGAGCTAGCCCTGGGGAGCACGTGGGCATGATCCAGAGGCACTGACTGACGGGGGCTTCCCTGAGCTCGTCCCCACACGACTCCTCCACCCCCCCCCCCAAATTGCACTTGTCATGAGATTCTGCCAAAGGGGGCGAACTGTGGTAGAGCTTTGGGGGCAAAGAAGGACCCCCCCAAATTGGGTGGGAGGTCCTTCTGAGGGCCAACCTGTTCCCCGCATGGAGGGATCCCCCTTCCGGTGCAAAAGACCTTCTGGATTCAGCCCTCGGATAACAAGAAACAGTCAGGAAAGACAATTTGCCACCAAGGCCTTAAAATATTTATTAGCGTTCTTGGTTAATACAGGGAAATGGTTTCAATTTTACACACCAGATTGTGATGCAATGTTCTAAGAAGAATGCTTTCAATCAGATTAGAAACGGATCCAAAGAGTTTTTCCTTACCAGTGGATGCAAGCACGAAGGCAGCTTTGGATGCACACGAGAGCAGTTTCTGCCCTATCCTGCCAAGCCTCCCTGAGTTCAGAAGGAACACAGTGGAAAACACTCGGCAAAGGCGAGGACGTTTGCCTGGCTCTGCAGGGGCCGGGCGGAAGCGCCCCGATGTTGTTGCCCCCCTCCCCTCCTTCCCGAGGGGATGCCAGGCGGACTCCGGATCAGCGAGGCAACAAGCACAGCTGGTAGGACGGAGGGATGTTCCCGAAACCGCTCAGCCTGGGGGAGATGTCCACGTCCTTGGGCGGCACGAGGGGTTTCAGGGAGAAGTTCTGCAGGATGGCGGTGAAGTAGAGGAAGAGCTCCATGCGGGCCAGCCCCTCGCCCAGGCACACGCGCTTCCCTGGCAGGGGGGAGCAAAGCGGAGGCGGCCGTCAGCGGGAGGAGGGGCCGGGCTGGAGGGGGGGGCTCCGCAGCAGCCCTCCAGCTCAGGCCCTTGGCAGCCTCGGCTGTCTCCCTCGCGAGGCTCTGGGGCCTCCCGTCTTGCTTTGGGAACGTCCCTGCTGTTCGACTGGCATCAGCACCATGGGAACTGGAGCAGTGGGGATGGATGGGAGTCCAGCCCTCCTGCTCCAAGCCCATCATGCTCAGCCAGTGCAGAGTCCGCACCAGGCCTGGTCGGGGTGTTTATTTACTTATTTAAAGTTTTTGTAGGCCGTCCAATGTGAAAGACTGTGGATGGCTTACAAAAAACAAAACAACCACAAACCACAAACACATCCTTCCTTGATCTCCTTCAAGGAGGGCTCCCGGAGAAGGGCCTCAGCCTTGGATCTCAAGGGGTGGGCAGGCACCTCACCCTTCCCAACCTGACAGCAGGTGGACTACAATTCCCAGCGTGTCTGCCTCATGGGATTTGCATCCACAAGCGCTCGAGGAAGGTGCTGCACTTGAATTGCCCCTGCTTTCGAAGCAAGCTTGCAGGAACATGAGAGGGGGGACCGCGGGAGTGAAGGCCTACCTGAGGAGAACGGCACAAAGGCCTCGTTCTTCCTGAAGCGCCCTTCCTCATCCAGGAAGTGCCCCGGGTTGAACTCCTCCGGGTTGCTGAAATATTTGGGGTCTCGTAAGACGGAGCCGAGCAAGGGGAAGATGTCGGTGCCCTGGAAAACACAGGCAGCGAACGGCATCCTAGAGGAGCTGACGGCACCGTGGAGGCCCTTCCCGCCTGCCGCCTGCCGCCTTTCCTCGCCCGCTGAATTCCGCGCTCGCCTCACCTTGGGCAGGAGGTACCCGCGGAACACTGTGTCCCGGATCACCGTGTGCGGCACCCCCATGGGGACGATGTCGGTCAGCCTTTGGATCTCGTGAATGACGGCGTCCGTGTAGGGCATCTTCGTCCGGTCCTCTGTGGCAGGGATGCGGCTCTGGCCGATGACGCGGTCGATTTCCTGGTGGACCTTCTCTGTCCGGAGAGCAAGAAATCACTGCTGGAGAGCGAGCTGGGAGGGGGTGCTCTCGAGCTGCCGGGGGCGCCTGGGGCAGGAGCATGGCCAGGGCGGCCGGAGATCACCGGAGACCCTATGGCTCTGGGGAGGACAGTCCGGGGCATTCGGGGTCCTGCTGGCACCGAACGCCTGGCGCTTCCACGGACTTTAGGGCCCATGGGGGACTGCCTGACTTTGGCACAAAATCACCCCTGGAAGAGCCAACGGTGAATTATTTCCATCTATAGATTGGCCCAAATCTATATCGTTAGATTAGCAAGCTCTCAGAACGGTGTACAGAAAATACTTAAAACAAACTTGTCTGTCATAAAACAACCGCAGAACAATAAAATTGGGCAGAATATGGTAAAACAGTCACAAAGCAGCGCATAATAGCAGAATAACAGCCGTCCCACCTCTACCAAAAGAGTTTAAAAGCCAATATAAAGGCGCATGACACAATCAGCCACTAAAATGGCAGGAAAAATAGGAACGTTTGTCCCTGGTGCGGTGCACAGATAATGTTGGTGCCAGGGGTATTCCCTGGGGACGGGGTTCCACCAACGGGCGCCGCAGCCGAGAGGGCCCTTCCCTTCGCCGCCACCCCCCCTGCCTCCTCTGGGGTGAAGCACTGGCTACTGAGTGGGGCGGGAAAGGAGTGCGAGGAAGTGCCCCGGGCACCTGTGCGAACGGGCAGCTGAGGGGCTACAAGCAGGGCTCTTGGACGGGCGGCGCGGGGTGTCAGCTCATGCACCCACCGAGCATGAACCAGAACGCCCATCTCCTGGAATCCCTCGCTTTTCCGGCCATCCAAGCCGAGGATCTGGCCCTCCTACCTTCCACTTCCGGGTGTTTCATGAGGAGGAGGAATCCGTATCGCAGGGTGGAGCTCACCGTCTCTGTCCCAGCAAAGAAGAGGTTGAGGGTCGTGAGGACCAAATTCCTCATGTTGAACTCGCTGGAGGGGCTTCCCTTTTCCTTTGAGGGGCCAAGACAGAAGCTCGTCTCAGGTGGGGACCACGTGCAGCGCTGCCGGTCTCCCGGGAGCAGAGCCAGGCAAAGGCCCGCGGGGGACGCCAGGGCTCTGTCCTAGCCTTCACCCATCGATCCTGCCTTGGGGGGGGGTCCCCCGCGGCCTGGTCCCGCTCCCCCAAGGGCGGACGAGGGGGAAGGGGGGCATCAACCCACAGGCCCAAGGAAAGCAGGCCGGTACCTTCTCCATCTGGATGAGGAAGCAGTCGATGAAGTCGCGGGGGCTGTTGGGGTCGAGGGTCTTCTGGTTCAGTGCGGCCTTCTCGGCAATGAAGGCCTTCAGCTCCTCGATGAGGCGGTAGATGCGGTTGTGCCTGCCGGGCAGGTGCTGCATGATGCCGGAGTACATGTCGTACAGCTGGAAGGAAGGGTGGCGGGTGCTGCGGTTTGCGTCCGAGGGCCTCGGAGAGGCTCCCGGCGGCAGGGCTGCCCCCCCACCGGCCCCCAGGAAGGAGCATCCGTTTGTGGGGCACCCCGGCAGGGCGCTCACCTGGGCCCACGGGGTGCTCATCTCAATGAAGCTTTCGTTGATCATGTGCAGTAAGGACAGGAAGGTCTTGTCCGCGTAGTCGAAGCGGCTGCCAAAGACGACCGAGCTGATGACGTTGGAGACGGTGCGGCTGAGGAAGAAGGTGGGATCGAAGGGGCGACCTGGCGGCACAAAGCGGGAGCCGTTGCCCTCGCCGCGTGGCACCCGCAGGCCGCCGGCACCTTTGCCCAGCGGCACGAAGGGGACCGTTGAGGTCGCCCTCCTGGGACTTGGGTATGGGACAGGATGAAGATGCCCCAAACAGACGGACGGACGGACGGACGGACAGGCAAACAGACACTCACCTTCCATTTTCCTAAATTCCTCCAGCAGGTACTGTGCCTCTTCCTGGATCCGCTCCTCAATGGAGCATTTCCCCATCCCAAAATTCCTCAGTGCAGAGAGGGAGAAGCGACGGAGCTGCCTCCACCGCTCTCCGTTGGCCAAAGCAACGCCTGCGAAAGGGAGTCGGGACCTTTGCTACGCTGGCCGCACTGCTCTGGCCCCAGGACCCCTCCAGGGGACCCCAGGGCAAGGCAGGGAGGGCGGGATGGTGCCCCGGGAGCCCTTGAACCTCGCCCCACTGCCTCCGCTTCCGCCAGTCCGTCCACTCACCAAAGCCCTTGAAGTTCCGGTCAATGGAGGCCAGCTGACCTCTCCCGCTGAACTCCTCCGCCTGGCCCACCAGGGCCTCCTTCACCGCCTCATGCCCGCAGAGGACCACCACCCGCCGGGGGCCCAGGTGCACCGTGAACACAGGGCCGTACCGCTCCCTCAGCTGCCGGAGAAGCCACAGTCAGCGAGGAAGAGTGGGGAGGATGGGCGGAGCGCTTCCGAGAGCATGCGGAGCGCGGGGCCGGGGCCTGGCGCCTCCCGCCTTTTAATACGGGAAGCGGTGTGGGCGCTGCGGTGAGGGCTGGATCCCGGTCCCGGCTCGGCTCGGCCACGGGGGGCTTGGCTGCGGGACTTCGGGCCAGTCCTTCACCGCCGTCGTGCGGGGAACTGTGGCTGCTGCTCTGGACTCCTCGCGGGGGAAAGCAGGCGCGACGTCCGTGAAGCACAATGAGAGGGTTACTGGACTAGGACGGCAAGCGGACCAGCGGTGCCACCCGGGGAAGCTGCTTGCGGTCGCCGCGCATCAGCCACGTTTCGCAGCAGCGGGAGACGTGCCGAGAGGGGCGCCGACACGCTCCGGGCCGCGGCTGCGACGCCTCTCCCGCCGGAGGAGCCGGCAGGCCGGGCGGCTCTGGGAAGGCCTGGGGCAAGCGCAGGGTGGCCGCGCTGGCCGGGCGGCTCGAGCTGCAGGGGCCTGCGCTCCGCCCCACTGGGGGCTCGGCCTCGGGCGGCCGGTCGGCGGGCCACCAGGCGCGGCCGCGATGGGCCTCCGCTCTCTCTTCCCGCACTCCCACCACGACCCCCCTGTGGGCCGGAGACCTACTGTGGCAGAGGGCCATGCGCCCCCGCGTGCTGCGCCCTGGCCTGCCACGGGGCCTTGAGGCGCAGGCACGCTGGGAAACCAGACCTGGAGGCCGCCCCGCCATGGGCGCTGCGCACGCCGCCGCTCGTCTGTCGCCCGAGCGTTTCCCACCCCGAAAGGGCCCGACTCACCGCGAGGAGGGACCGGAAGGGCTCGCTCATTTTCACCTGCAGCAAGTTGCCAATGAAGGGCAAGGGGGGGGGGCCCGGGGGGCAGCCGCCCCTCTTTGTGCGTTTTCTTCCATGTGAAGATGAGGAGCAGGCAGGAGGTGCAAACGCCCAGGAGGACGCCGAGCTCCATGGGGTCGGCCGGGGAGGTAGCCGGGTGCGGCTCCAGCGCGCCCCTTATATGCATCTGCCCGGGCAGCGAGACCGGCTGACCAGGCCTCCCGGAGAGCCGGAGCGCGAGATTGAATTTCAGGCCCTTTGATGCAATATTTGTGGAACAGGTACCACGCTCGGGCAGGGCGTGGGGCAGAAGGGAAGGCGGGCTGCCCGCGGATTTTCACCATGGTTATGAGACCAGAGATCTCGTTCCCTTCCCCGTCCCCCCTGCCCTCCTCGCCACGGGGGGAGCAGCCGGGCCCCTGGCGGTTCCGCCCACCGGTCGGCGAGGGGCCTTCCCGCCGACCTCGCCGGTGCCCGAAGCCACCCCGGGAGCTGCCAAGCCACGCTCGGCCGGAGGGCAGCTGCCACCCACGCCCCGACCCTCCCCTTCCACCCTTGCTCTGCCGAACATGCTCGCTTCACGCTCAGTGGATTTTTTTTAATAGAAAAGCAGCTTATTAACATGAATGTCAAAATGGGCCTGTCTGTCAACACCCCAAGCCTGAATTTGGCAAAGGACCTCCCAGAAGCAGGTGAGGCGTCAGCTTTGCTTCTGCAGTTATGCAAAAGAAGATTGAGTTTCCTTCCGCCCAGCTGCTGTTATGCAAGCTCGGGCAGCCCACGGCTTCCGCTTCGTTCTCTGCTGTGACTCTCGCCTTTGCCCCCTCGTGGGTTTGCCCGGCAGTCACCCGATACCCTGTGAACAGGCGCCAGGCCCCAGGGACACGAGCGGATTGCCTGCCAACCGCAAGCCCCCTGCCCGTGCCGAGCGATATTTGCCAGGGCGGGAGAGGTCCTGCAGAGCCCCCAGAGGGCAGGGAGCCGAGTGGAGGCGCTTGCCTGCAGCTGGCAGCCGGAGCTTCTCACCCGCCTCCCTGGGGGCTCTGAATCGCCCATCTTCGCCCCCCAGCGCTCGGCCGCTGCGGGGAAGCGCTTTGCGGGCCCCACCAGTCCCACTCCACGAGAACGCTGCTGCCTAGGGTGGGATAAAGATCGGGGCAGCCTGGCCAGGGGCCCCCCAGAAGGGTGTTTCACGCCGGGTCTGGATGGTGGGGTCCCTGTTTGTCGCTCCTGCTGTTTTCTGCATCTTCTGTTTTTTCCCTTAGCATGAGAAAAGCTTGCAAGGGAAACAGGCAGTGCCAGGAGTACCCAAGAGGCCCAAGTGGGCGTTCAGTATTTGAACCCATGGTTGCTATTGCGCTGCAGATCATGAAGGCCCTTGGCTCTCAGGCAATCAAGAACCGAAGGGCAGCTTTGATATTTCCAGCTGCAGCACAACATCCCACAGGTGGGTCCCAGCCTGACTGGCTGAGAATGAGCTGTCCGGGTGGCCAGAACGGTGCCCAGAGGAGCAGGCAGGGCCCAGGGCTGCCCATGGCCCAGCGGAGCCAGCCAGCCTCTGTCCACCCTGAAGGAGAAGCAGAGGCGCTCAGGAAAAGCCAGTTCAGACTGGATTAGGAGAAGGACCTGCCCCGGGGGGCCAGTAACCCTAAACCTCTTACAGAGTGCCAAACTGGCTCCCCTCGCAGCTCTGGAAGGAGAGGTGCCTAATCGGATTATGAAGAGCATGTTCCTCAGCCAAAGTCCTTCCTAAGCCACGTGAGAGCCTGGCAGAGCGGCGTGCAAAGACGGGATGAGAGCAGGAGGCCCACAGGGGCCAGCTGTGGAGAAGCACCTCAGAGGCCATGGCTGGGCCTGCGGCCTGCAGCTGCTTTCAAGTCAGGCTGGAGCTGGGCACTTTCTGGACTGGACCTCCTGGGCACGTCAGGGGTGGCGGCACAGCGGTGGCTTGGGCTGGACCCGGGCAGGCCTCGGACTTCGGGGGAAATGTCGAGGCCAACTCCCACCCTACCCAGCCCCGGCTTGAAGGGGAGCCTGGATGTTGGCAGCCGTCAAAGGGCTCGAAGCCCCTGCACTGGGCAGGCTGGAGACACACGCCTCCTCATGTCGCCGAGCAGCGAGTGGCTCGAGGAAAGGGCGGCTTGCACAAGCACGGAAAATCCAGGAACTTCCCATGAAGGGGCAGAGGGAACTCGCCCTGCTCCCTTTCTGAGCACAGCTCCATCTCGTCTTTGGTTAGCCTGGGCAACTCACCTGTGCACACCTGCCAAGTCAAACCAAGGTGGAAGAAACCCACCTGGAGCCCCTTTGGGTCCCGGCTGCACTTTGGAAACTCAATTCCCACCCCCCCTTACCTGCACAGGTGTGCACTTGCAAAGGCGTGACCAAATTAAGTGCCAAATTTGGTGTTGTTTTTAACTGTATGGCAACTGCTGGCAGGTGTTGAAGGTGACTCCCGAAAGAGGACTTTTGACACAGACTGGCTACTGGAGAAGGAGAAGGAGACAGGGAGAGGGGCAGTGGGGGGCGCCCAAGCAGCTCGGGGCCGCGGGAGGAGGCCAGGCCGTCTGCCCAACCGGCAAATGGCGCTGTTTTATCGGCATGAAAAATGAGGTAGATTTAAAAACCACGGAAGTGCTGAATTTGGCGGCACCGGGTTTTTTTAAGTTATTCCAGAAGTGTAAAGTGAAAATGCTGCAAGACAGCTATATTTCTATGAGAGGTGGGCAAATAGGAATACTTCAAAACTTATGTCCAGGATATTCTATTTCCATCCATGATGTATCAAAATCTTTCTACAGTATTGGGAGAAGCTGCCACAACGGGAGTGCGTCGTGGCGGTTAAGGGGCTCTGGCATGCCAAGACGGCCAGGCAGGCCAGCTGGCCTGCAACCCTTTCGGTGGCTCTCGGCTTTTGCGCTTTAAAATGTGGGAGTCTGCCCTTTCCGCCACGGAAGGAGGAGAACCCCAACGCCGAGCCGTGGCCTGCAGGGGGCCCTGGCGATGCCTCCGCCCACCTGTGCCAGGCCACAGCACGGCTCCGAGGGGCATGGCCCCCGTGGCCTTCGAGGGCCCCCGGCACTGCCTGCGTCGCCCGCCCCGGCGCGGCACGCCCAGGATCCCCACGGGAGGGGGGGTCAGCGGCAGACTCTCTCTCACGGAGACCGGCAGGAGCAGGAAGCACGGCCAGGCGCCTCCCGAGACCCCGTGCTCATCCAGCCCCTTCCCAGGGGCCCCCGTCCTGGATGGGAGACGTGCTAATGGGGAGCTGTGCTGGTTTCCACAGTGAGGTCACTCCACGCGTCTAGACACTCGGGGATTTTATTGTACTCCATGGAAAGCATGAGCAGCAGAAATGGGAAGACAGAGCACTGGGTTCGGCACGGGGCTGATGCGGCACGGCCCCCCGGTGCCGCGGGCCAGGCGATCCAGTCCGGCTTCCCGAGGGACCAGTCGAGCGGTCCTTTGAGCGGGAGAGTGAGGGCAGGGGAAACGGGCTGAGGCCACGGCCAGGGGCGCTGAAGGCCGCAGGGCCTGGGCGGGACCCAGGAGAGGGACACCCGCCCCTTCCCGGAGGAGCCACCCCGGCCCCAGGGAAGCCTTGTGGGAGAGGCAGGTGCCGGGGAAGCCTGGGAAGAGCCGGGGCCAGAGGCCTGCTCAGCGGGGGACGATGCAGAGCTTGTAGAAGGGCGGGATGGTGGCGAAGCCCTTCTCCCTGGGGGCCAGGCTGATGTCCTGGGGGGGCAGGAGCGGCTTCAGCCGGAACCTCTGCAGGATGGTGGTGAAGAAGAGGAACAGCTCCATGCGGGCCAGCCCCTCGCCCAGGCAGAGCCGCTTGCCTGCGGGGGAGAGGAGAGAGTGGCAGGGGGGAGGCAGCGGCCCCGCAGGAGGGGCCCGGGCACGCCGTGCGGGCCCCCGCCTCCAGGCGGGAGCAGGGCAGCCCGTTCCCGTACGCCTCCTGCCCTGGGACCGTGGGAGAGGCGCGAGCGAGCACCAGAGGAGGCGTCCTCCACGGATGCAGGGCCGTTGAGCCACCTCCCCACGGGGCCACGGGCTCTACCTGAGGAGAAGGGCACAAAGGCAGCCGTCTTCCGGAAGCACCCGCTCTCGTCCAGGAAGTGTCCGGGGTTGAAGGTGTCCGGGGTCTTGAACATGGAGGGGTCGTGCAGGACGCTGGTGAGCATGGGGTAGATCTCTGTCCCCTGGGGGGAGGGGGAGTGGCGCTCAGCACTGCGCGGGGGCCCCAGCGGGACCTGGCCCTCGGCCCCATTCCAGGGCCAGCAGAAAGGCTGTGGGGCTGGCGGAGTCGGGCCGGTCCCGCAAGGGGTCTGTTCCGTTCCCAGCACCAGAGCCAGCGCCAGGTTCTGCGGTCCAGAGCTCCCACAGGCAGCTTCCTGGCCACGTGGAAAGCACCGCAGGAGCCGATCTCCGTGGGCTGCTCGGCAGCCTTCCCAAGACCTTCCCGTGCTTCCCGCCACACACACACACCTTCGGGATGACGTAGCCCCGGAATTCGGTGTCGCAGGTGACTGCGTGGGCCACGTTCATGGGGATGAGGTCGCTGACCCGCTGCACCTCGTGGATGACGGCGTCCGTGTACGGCATCTGGCTCCGATCTTCAATGTTCGGGACTCGGCTCTGGCCAACCACTCGGTCAAGCTCTTCGTGCAGTTTTGCTGCCGAGAGGAACCCCAGAGCGAGCCGTTGGGCCCCCACCCCAAGCGGCTGGCGCTCCTGCCTCCAGCGTGGCCCAGCGGACCGCCCGGCCCGAGGCAGCGAGTCCCTGGGGCAGGGAAGCGGGGGGCGGGGGGGCGGGGGCCTGCGCTGGGCCACCTGGCAGGGCATGGGGGGAAAGACTCCGGAGGAGTCACGGACCAGCGTGGGCCGCTCTGAGGAAGGAGGTCCGCGAGCGCTTGGAGCTGGGACGGGGCGGAGGAGGCACGGACACCGAGCCAACTCGCCCCTCGGTCCCCCCAGGGCACGCTTGGAAAAGCCCCGTCCGGACCACGTGCCCTCGCTCGCCGGGCCCCCACCTTGCACCTCCGGGTATTTCATCAGCAGCAGGAACCCGTATCTCAGGGTGGAGCTGACGGTCTCGGTCCCGGCGAAGAACAGATTCAGGGTGGTGAGCTCCAGGTTCGGGAGGTTGAACTCGCTGGCCGGGTTGCCTTTCTCCTAGAGGCAGGCAGAGGCAAAGCCGTGGCAGGGCAGGGAGTGCCAGGCGCTTTCTGGGACGGGGCGGCAGGTGGAGCGGCGGGCAGAGTTCCCAAAGGGAGCCGTCCTGTGGAAGCGGGCAGCGCCCCCGCCCAAAGATGGGGGGCGCCTGACCGCCCCCCAGGAGCCGGGACGGGGGGAAAGTAGCCGGTGGTCTGCTGTGGCACCTCGTCCCAAAGAAGCCGGGCACGGCAGGGAGTGCGTGGTCACTCAGCCGCCCTTCGTGCTCGGCTCGTGGCCGGGGGGAGAACACCCTCCCTGTGGGCCCGCCACGCTCGGCGGTGGCCGAAGGTGGGGAGGCCCGCCCGGGCGTGCAGGCGGCCCTTCCCATTTGCCCTGCAGGGGGAACACGGCTCCTCCGCACCGGCTTTCCTGCGGGGGCGGCTGCCATGTCTGGGTCTTTCGAGAGGCTGCGCGTGGATCGCCCCATCTACTGGGGCTGGTCCTGGGCTGAAGCGTCACGGCAGCTTTTGGACACGCTGCGCGCCCGCGTCCCACGGAGCGGCTCTGCACAGCGCCCCCTGCCGGCTGCTCGGTGGAATCCACAGAAGGCCAGACCTGCAGGGCGGGCCGCTCCGCCCCCATGGGGGGTTGCTCAGTCTACACCCCCCAAACGGTGGGGGAGCCCCAGAGATGAGCTGGAGGAGGCTGTGCAGTTCTGGGCACCAAGAACCCTAACCCTTCTGACTCGCTCCGTTTCTGTGTTCCTGCGATTTAAGGAAGATGCAGACGAACCGGAAAGGGTGCAGAGGAGGGGTACCAAGGATGATGCAGGGCTGGAAACACCGCCCTGTGGGGAGAGACTGGGAGCACTGGGCAGGAGGAGAGAAGGCCGAGGGGGACATGAGATCCCTCCATACGTCCCTCAAAGGCTGCCACAAAGAGGAAGGTCAAGAGCTCTTCCTGCTGATGCCAGAGCGTAGGACACAGAATAATGAGGTCAGTTTGTGACAACCCCGGTTCAGGCCGGACGTCAGGAAGAGCGTCCTCACTGCCAGAGCAAGACGGCAGTGGGCCAGCCGCCCGGAGAGGCGGGGGGCTCTCCACACTGGAGGCGCTCAGAAGAAGCTGGCCGGCCGTCTGCGTGGGAGGGTGTAAGTGGTGCCCCGTTCCAGGGACCTTCATGGCCCCTTCCAGCCCGACTCTTCCAGGATTCTGTGCAACCCGAGCAACTGGTGCCTCATTTGGGGGGGCACAGAGAAGTGCCAGCAGCGCCCGCCCCGCTCCCACGCCAGCCCGGTACCTTGTCCATCTGGATGAGGAAGCAGTCGATGAAGTCACGGGGGGCGTTGGGGTCCAGGGTCTCCTGGTTCCTCTTCACTTTCCGGGCGATGAAGAGCCTCATCTCTTCCAAGAGGTCGTAGATCTTGGTGTGCGGCCCCGGAAAGAACTTCAGGATGTTGGCGTACATGTCGTAGAACTGGGGGAGGAGAGGAGAGGACGTGCGCCCGGTCAATGTGCACGAGGCGCAGGGCCCTCCTGCCTCCCTGGGCGGAGAGGGTGGCTGGCTGGCGGTACCTGAGCCCAGGGGGTGCTCATCTCTCTGAAGCTGTCGTTCATCATCCGCAGGAGGGCCTGGAACTCCTGATCGCCATAGTCAAAGCGGTCGCCAAAGACGATGGAGCAGATGATGTTGGAGACGGCGCGGCTTAGGAAGAAGGTGGGGTCGAAGGGCTCCTCTGGAGCGCGAGAAGCAGGTGTCATGCCGCCAGGGGCACCAGGTGCGGGGGGGGGGCTCTGGTGTGGCAGCCGCCTTCCCCTCGGGGCCACACACTAATCCAGCCTTCGCCAGCTGGGACCTTCCAGGTGCTTCGGGCCGCACCTCCCGGCCATCAGCCATGCTGCCTGAGGCCAACGGGCCGAAGCCCAAAACATCTGGGGGGCGCCGAGCAGGGAGCAGCTGCTTGACTCCTTGCCTACGTTACCTCCCCCCTCCTTCGCCCCCAGAAATCCCCCCCCTTGCGGCCGGGTGCCCCCCCCCCCCCCGCCACTCACTCGTCTGGAGCAGCAGCAACCTGGCCTTCCCGGACCTGCACATGCCCAACTCCCCATCCCCAGGACGGACGGGGCCCTCTCCTCGGCCCGCCTCGGCTCTAGCGCTCGGACTGCTCTTGAGCAGGTGCGCAGAGCCTCCGCCACCCCTCCTCTACTCACGCCTGGTTTTCTGAAATTCTTCCAGAAGAAACTGGGCCTCCTCCTGGATCCGCTCCTCAATGCTCTTTTTCCCCATCCCAAAATTCCTCAAGACGGTGAGGGAGAACCGGCGCAGGAGCTTCCAGCGCTCGCCGTCGGAAAACACCACCCCTGGGCGGCGGAGAACAGTGGCGGGTCAGGCAGGAGCGTGCCGGAGGTGCTCCCCTGCCCAGGCCGAGACGGGCAGCTCACCGTATCCTTGGAAGGTCCTTTCCAGGGTGGGGTTTGTTTTCCGCCCACTGAACTCTTCGGCCTTGTCTATCAGGGCCTCCTTCACCGCCTCATGTCCACATAAAACCACGACTGGGCGATTGCCGAAGTAGACGGTGAAGACCGGGCCGTATTTTTCACGCAGCTGCACGAGGAAAGCACCAAAGGCTTCAGGCGGCATTTTAACACGAGCAGCTTTGGTGCCCGGGCTGCCACATCGGCCACTGGCGCGGAAGGGCATCAGTCCGGCATCGTCCAGCAGTTTGGATGGCTGGACAGGGCTGGATGACTCTGTGGCACGTGGGGGGTCAGGGCGGGGGCCCTGCCCCAGGAGCCTCTGAGCACCAGCTGCCGGGGAACCTGAGTGGAGGGGGGGCCGTGCTCCTGGCCCCCTCCCAGGCTCCCCTGGGTGTCTGGCCGGCCTTTGTCGGAACAGACCGCCGGGGCAGCGGAGGCCCACCTGGGGCGCAAGGTCCTTCAGCAGCCAGCAGCCACACCGACTGTGCACGCGAGTCTGGCCTTGGGGGCTTGTGGCTGGAGCAGAATGGCCGCTACTCCACACTTAAGACACGGGTACATACAACCAAGGAGAAGCCAGCAGAGGCACTCAGGGGAAGTGGCGGCCTTCAGTGTCCAGGCGGGCAGAAACCCAGCGGGCCAAAGGTTGGTGTTTCCCAACTCTTTCAGCACACCCAGCTGGGAGTGCAGCTGGTGCGGCAGGAAGGTTCCAGCTCTGCTGCGCTGCGATTCCAGGACCCTGCTGGGCCAGAGCTCCCTGGAGTTACCTTTCTTCCTTCCCAAAGGCAGAACAAGTGTTCTGGAATAGGAGTGCAATCGGAAGACGCCTGAAACGGATTTGGTGTGATATTGGACAGGAGGAAAGGACTTTGCACGAGAACCATGTCGGTTTAGGGCTTGCACAAGCTGAAGCATCCAAAGACCCCCAAAGCTTGGGGAAGAAGGAATGGGGGGGGGGCATTCTGAAAGACGCTCTTGAATGTACTAGCTCTCAAGCCCCTGAGCGTGTCCCTCGTCACACTGCTGGGGTGCCGAAAGTGCCTCGCACGAGTCACGGCGTTCCTACCTGGCCGGTGGGGGCACAGAGATGCCCAAGGAGCGACAGCAGCAGCTCCCTGGCCAGGGGCCCCCGACTCACCTTGAGCAGGGATTCTATGGTTCGTCCGGACTTGAGCTGGAGGAAATTCCCGATCACAGGTAGGGGGGTGGGCCCCGGGGGCAAGTTCCCCTTCTTTGAGACGCCCCTCTTGATGGATACGACGATGAGGTAGGTCAGGTAGAGGGCAAGGAATACAGTGACCGTCCCGGACAGCTCCATGGCACCGATCTCCACAGCTCTGCTTTTGCTGGGCTTCTCCCCTTTTTATTGGCCTGGATTGGGCCCCACCTCTGTGTTGCATAACGCACAGGGAAAGCAAGCCGCGCGCTCAGTCCCGCAACTGGGCCGACCCGATTGGCTCGTCCCTGCTGGCTCGGCATTGGAGCCGCAGAAGACTCCCTGCCGCTTGGAGTCCACTTCTGGGGACAGAAGGCGTGCCGAGATCTCATGCGGGTCCGGACAACACGACGATCCATGACAGCTTCTGCCACGATGGCTCGTTGTGCTTGTCCGCACAGCGTTATGCTATTCCGCCATGTTAATTTGGCCTTTACGAACCATGATGAGAAGCAACGGCTTGTTCTGTGGTTTCTGGGGGCCACCAAGGCTTCCCCTGTTGTCTGGAAGCAGGTTTATGGGTTCCATGCGATGTCCTGGCACGGAGCCACGAAGGGTCTCCTGCACAGAGCAGTGGCTGAAGGAGCCGCTCCAGGAAGGGGTGGCCGGCACAGGCCTCCCCAGCCTTCCCTTCTCCGGGCAAAGGGGCACTGTGTCCTTCCGTCCTCCCCCACAGGATGCTGCTTGGGGCCCCGGGCCGTCCTTGCTGCCCTCCTCTGAGACCATTCCAGTTCACTGGGGCCCCTTTCGGGGCGCTCCGCAGGGCTGCAAGCCGTGCTGGGGAGGGGGCTGGGCAGAACCGGTGCCAGGCCAGCGCTCCCCCACTGGCAGCTGCCTCCACGGAACGGCCGCCTTGCACAATTTTTTCGGCTTCTTTGTGCAAGACCCTTATTGTGTGTTCACGGCTCCACAACTGTGCAGCTCACGGCGCCTTTTCCCAGCACCGCTTCCTCCAGGCCAACCCACATGTCTTCTAGCCACTTTCCTGGCATCTGTGGGTGTGGGGAATGTGGCTTGTCCACATTCCGACGGAACAAAGGGTGCCCCTCCGCGGCACTGCAGCCGGCCACGGCGACGCCACGTGCTTGAGCAGCGGGACGCCCGGGGTGAGGCGTGCGAGGGGCTGAGGGCGACGGACCCGCACGCCACCCAAGGGGTTTCCAGCTGCCCCGGGTGGTGCTGCTCTCGTAGCCCGGGCTGAGCAGGGGGGGAGGGCAGGCATGACCCGAGCGGCCCGCTGGTGCCCCGACCACATGGCTCCAGGGCGTGACCAGAAAGCAAGAGCGACAAAGCAGCACCCGGGGCCCATTACACGCTGGCCCAAGCCAACCCCTCAGGGCCAGAGCAGTTGGGGGGGGGGAGCTGGCGCCACCCCGGCAGAAGGCCGTGCCAAGCAGCCCGGGGTGGGAGAGCCAGTGCCTTGTGGGGCAGAGGCAGGACTCGAGGAGGTCGCGAGCGGCAGGGGCACCCGGCGGCAGGCAGTGGAGCGGAGTCCCGCAGGGACGGAGGCCAAGCGCTGCGCACTGACTCTGCTGGCAGCTCCCGGCAGCCAAGGAGTGGCTCGAGGGGGCCGAAGGCCGGGGTGGGCGGCTCCTGTTTGCTTTGCAGGGCTTCTGTCTCTGTTCTCCTTCGCGTTCATTCAGCCGGAGAGGGGCCCTCCCTTGCTTTTATGCTCTCCGGGCCACTTCCCTCTCAGGGGATCATGCTGTCTTTTAGCAGCTGGGCCGGCCTCTCCCTTCGCAGAAGAAAAGCCACGTTACATGAGAAGGACGGAGCGAGCGATAATCCGGTGACCCCTTAAAGGCTAGCAAAGCAATGACGACACCCATCCTTGCGAAACAGCCAGGCGTGCCTGTTTGCCTTGCCAGCCCATGAACAGGCTCCGGCCCAGGGACCCGTTTCTTTGCCGGCCAGGCGGCAGTCACAATCCGCCGGCACCTGGGCCTCGCACCGCCAGCCGGGGTGGCACGGTGGCGCAGGGCACCGGCTGGGTGCAGGCGGCCCGGCTCTCATCCCCTCCCAGCCACGGAGCGAGCCGGGCGACTTGGGCCAGACGCTCAGCCCAGCCTACCTCACCAGGCTGCTGCTGTGGGGCTAAGGCTGCCAGGAGCATTATGCGCGCTGCCATGAGTCCCTTGGAAGGAAAGCGGGCGGGAGAGAAAAACAGCGAGTGGGTGCGAGTGCACCCAAGGAGCTGGCGTGGCCGGGGCGTCCCCATCCCGAGCGAAGGCTCTGGGGCAGGGTTGGGGCTTTGGGGGGCTGATCGAGCGAGCCCAGCTCTTTAGCGAGGAAAGTGGGCCAGAGCAGAGACCTCGCTCCGGAGGAGCAGGGCGACCTTCCGGACAAAAGGCACCGGCGAGCGGGCGAGCGAGGCCCGTCCTTCCCCGTGGCGCTGCCTGTGCCCGGGCTGCATGAGGCCAGGGGCTCGCAAGCGCCGGCAGCAGGGTGGCGCTGAGGGGGGACTTGCTTCTGGCCTCCAGGACAGCGAGGGGCCGCGACGGCGGGGCTCGTGCTCCCAGTGGGCCTGCGGCTGGCCTGCCCCTGCTCGCCTCCTGGACTCTGCTCGATCACAGGCCGCTCGAGGGGGCAGTGCCACTGGCGCTCCGCGGGCTTGCTTGTGCTCCCCTTCCCTGCCCTGCCCCCTGTGCTGGCCATCGGCCGCCTGGGTGGTGCTTCCCCGGCCAGCGGCTGAGCCCAGCATGGAGGCGGGAGGCACCTGCTCGCTCCTCTGCTCTCCCTTGCCAACGGGCAAACAAAAGGTTTTCCGCCTGGACCTCTGCCGAGAGCCTGCTCCGTTCCAGAAGCTTCGGGAGCAAGCACCCCGGCTCCTGGAGAGCGCCCCTGCCTGCCACGTCCCTGTGGCCCAGCCTGGAGCCCAGGCTGCCTCCGCTCCCTCCCAGTTGGGCACTGTAATGGAGAATCGGTGAAGGGCCTTTTGGGAACAGAAGGGTTAATCCTTGGCCGTCTCAGCCAGGTGGCACCTCAAGGCAGGCCCCCGCCATACACCCTTCCCCGGGGCTGAGAGTTTCACCGGGGGACTGCCAGGTGTCACCCGAGTCGAGCTTGATCTAACTGGGTAAGCCCAGGGAGCCAAGGGGGTTTCCCTGCTGCTGCGGGAGGCCGTTGAGAAATTCTGCTCTCCTCCACCAGGAGGGAGGCGACATCTGGGGTTGCATTTTCTGTTTGCGGTAGGAAACGCTAGCTTGTTGTTTTCAGCCGAGGGGCTGCAGGGAGCTGACTGGCATGGATCCAGGGAAACCACTGCTCTCCTGCGTCTGCTGCCTTCCTTACCCTCGTGGAGTGTGCGCTGCGGGTTGTCGTGTTTCAAGACCCTCCGCCCCTATTTTGTCCATTGTCTTTTTATAAACCTGTTTTGCCCCAAGCTTGGGTTGTCATGAGCCGAGTCCCTGCCTGGCAACGGGATTCTGGGGTTCAGGGTGGGAAAAAGCTCCCTACCAGCTGCTGTGGGTGAGCCTTGGCGTGGCTGGCTGTTCCTGCCATAGAAACAGGAGGAGTCAGAAGGGGTCTCCCGGGCCATCTAATCTGACCCCCGGCTCCCCTCATGACATGCCTGCCACACTCGTGCCCAGCCTGTCCTTGAACACCCTCATCGATGGGGCTTCCAGCCAGAATTGCCGTATTTCTGCCTTTTGCTTGGCAGGAAAAGAAAACCGGCCACAGAAGGAATAGATGCCACTGGCACACGGCCGTCTGCCACGGCTCCGAGCTGCCAGGGCGCCACTGGCTGGCCATGCCCAGCAGCCCGGCGGAGGGCCTTGGGCCCCCGCGGAAGACTTGGCCCGGGCTTTGGCGAAGCCCAAGGGGCTCGGCCGGCTTTGGCTGCCGTTGCCCAGCAGCCCGGCTTCATCACCTGCCCATCTTCCAGCCAAGTAGATCATGCAGGCCACCCCACCGAGGGATCTGGCTGGCGTGTCTCTGCACGTGCGTCTCGTTGCTGTACAGCTGCAGATGTGGGGCCTGCCCTACCGCGCCTGAACCAGCTGCAGCAGCACCCCCGGCAGCTCTTCCGAAGGCACCCCGCAGCGAGCCCTTGGGGGGACCCAGCACTCGGCAGGTGCTTTACGCGGACAGAATGGAGAATTTTCTGCAAAAAGCAACACCCCCTGGGAGGCGTCCTGGGAAGCAACACATTTCCCCGGGACTGTCTGTGGCTCTTCTTCAGTGTGGGTGGGTGCTTTGAAAATTGTGCTCGCTCGCTCTTGCTCCACGAATGTCTAACTTCCAGCTGTTAGTTCCTCCCCTCCCCTCCATCGTGCCGCTGGCGTGACGGGAGCTTGCAGGAACGCTCCGCGGATTCCGTCCGGAAGGGCCTCTGCCAGCACGATTCTGCCTGGCACGCCAAACAAATCCCTCGGCTCAGAATTCCTTGCATGCGGTCCCAGCGGGGGCGCTCTGGCCTCTATGGAAAGAACCAGCAGCGACCCCTGCAGGTGGAATGCCTGGCCTCACCTGTCCCGCAGGACCTGCCGCCCACACCTGCCTGGAGAGGCAGGCGAGCTGAGCTCTGGGGACACGGTGCCAACCCGCAGTCCCCTCGGGTTGCTTCTCGCACAGCCGTGCTTCTTGCGAAGCGACCGATGCAGCCTCTCCTCCTCCTCCACGTGAAGAACGAGGTGGCAGAGGCCAGAATGCGGGTGGAGAAGGCCGAGCATCGGGCCGGGCAGGGCCGGGCAGGGCAGGGCAGGGCAGGGCAGGGCAGGGCAGGGCAGGGCAGGGCGCAAATGTCTGAAGAGCCGGCCGGTTCGGCCTGTTCCGGCTTCCCAGCAGCCCGTGCCTGGGGCGGGAGGCAGGCGACAGGCCCAGCTGGCGAGCCGCTCCAAGCCGGGGCCCGCAGTGGCCATCCCAAGACGGTCCCTGCTCCGGCCCAGCAACCCACGCAAAACCAGTAAGGTTGTTTCTCCTTCCGTTTTATTGGCCCATCTGTCAGAAAAGGAGCAGGGCAGCCTTCCCTGGGGCACAGTCCTTCGCCCAACACCGGCTTTTCCAAGGGAAGCGAGGGGGCCGGCTGCAGCCCAGCAGCGCCTCAAGAGCCCCCTTAGAGCAAGGAGGCAACGCAGCGGCAGGAGCCGCTGGGCAGGGGGGCGCTGGGGGCTCAGGGGCACGCCCCCCCCCCAGTCTGAGCCGTGTTCGAGGCGCCTGAGCTTGCGGGAGGGATGTTTGCAGCAAAGGGGCAAAAACAAGATGAGCGGCGCCTCTTCGTTCCTGCCCCTTTCCCCGTCGGCCTCTGGCACTCCCACACCCCACCGGTCCAGTCCCGAGTCAGGCGGCAAAGCCCCACCGCCCCCCAATGCCGAGAGGGAGCCCCCGAGCTGCAGCGGCTCCGGCGTCATGGAGCACCACCCCGCCGGCGCACTGCCATGGCCGACACGGTGCCGAGCGGGCTGGGCGCCCTCCAAGGGGCTCCGCAGCGTCCAGCAGCCATGGCGAGAGGCGTACGGACGGACCCTCGTCCCGTCCGAGGGGCAGAGCCCGGGCCAAGGCGCAAGCGGCGGGCAGGCGCTACAGCAGCCCAGCGGGCACAGGCGCCTCTGGCAGGAGGGGCGCGCTCCTGGGCGAGCGAGGCGAGGAGGCCCGGCCAGCACCCGGGCGGGGGTCCGGAGGCTTGGCCGCAGGGGGGCTCTGCTGCCCGGGGGGCTGCGTGTCCAAGCCGGCCCCCCTGGCGGCCCAGTAGGCGGCGGAGCGGTCCACAGCCTGCTGCAGGCGGGCCCAGGCCCGGCCGTCGTTGCTGCGCACGGCCTCGCAGAGGAGCTGGGCGTGCTCCCGCAGCTCGGCCAGCTCGCGCTGGGTGCTGCCGTTCTGCCGGAGCAGCTGCTTGGTCCGCAGCGTGATGCCCAGCAGCCCCGACCGGCGCAGGACCTCCACGGTGTTCTGGAAGCGGCGCTGCCGGCCCAGGCTGCCGCAGCCCAGCCGCTTGGAGGCGCGGGAGAGCGTCCGGCCTTCCGCCAGGTCCCACCCCTCAGAGGAGGCTGCCGCGTCCTGGGCGAGGGCTTCCAGGCTCGGGGGGGCGGCGACCGGCGGGCTGCCCCAGGCGGGGGGCGCCTCCTTCCGCGACTTGTCCCCGCCGCCGGCTGGGGCGGTTGCATTGGAGGCCAGGGACCAGGCCTCGTCCAGGCAGAAGCGCTTGCCCTTGCTGGCGGCCGCTGCGGGAGCCGGTCCTGCTGCGCCGGCCTGCGGGGCTGGTGGAGGGTGGCCCGGGTGCGGTGCGATCCGGGGGTAGCCGCCAAGGCGGGGCGGGCAGGCGTCCTTGGCGGGAGGCTTCTGGCCGGGCAGTGGGCCCTTCAGGGGACCCACGGGCTGCTGGATGAGGAGGAGGCGGGCCGGGGGGCCCTCCCCGCTGTCGAGGGGGTGCTGGCTGCTCCAGGCCAGGACTGGGGTGGCCGCTGGCGCTCCCAGGGGCTGCGGAGAGAAAGCACGAGGGCCGCATCAGCGGTGGGCGGGAGTGCAACGGAGGGGAGAGGAGCCCGCCGGTGGGCCGGTCGCTCCACACGAGCCGCCCCGGCCCCTGCGGAGCCGCCACCCATGGGGCGGGGGCCTGCCTCCCCGTGCCCCGCCACACACGCGGAGAGGATGGGCCCGAGACTCGGGGGGAGGAGGCGGGCAGACGGAGGCCTGCGCAGCCCGCGGCACGGAGCGGGGGTCCTGGGCCCGGCAGGGGCTACCTGTTTGAGGATAACGTTTTTGACAATGTAAATGGGGGCGAGGCCAGGTAAGGCGCTGCCTGGGAGCCCCCCCGGCCCCTTCTGTGGCGGCCGCGGCAACTTGGCTGGCTGGCGTGGCGAGCGGCCGGCCTGCTCCTCGGCGTCGGTCTGCTCCACGGCGCTCAGGCACTCCGAGCTCCCGTCTGCAAAGAGAGGAAGGAGCGGAGGGGCCGCCTGTGAGGGAGGGAAGCCGGGCCACGGACACGGTCCTTCCTGGGGGCCCGGCCCCGGGGCCCCGGAGGGCTGCCGCCCGCCCTGCCGCAGCGGGACGCTCCCGAGGAGCAGCTGCGGCCGGCCCTCCGCCAGGGCTCCCCTTGGGCTGCTGCTTCCCACTGCGGCGAGACCCCTGCCACTCCCCGGCCCCCCACCACCCCCCGGCTGGTATCCACCGTGGGGCAACAGGGGACCTGCAGATGTTGCAAACGCAGGCAAGACTGAGAAGCGAATCTGGGAAGCAGAGAGGAGCCGCGCCTCCTTCCACTGGACCCCAAAACTTCTCCCATGAGCAACGGAGAGCCCCCCACGAGAGAGCAGCGGGTGGACCCCACGTTTCTGTGCTTGGGTTTGTCTCCTGGCCAGAGCTGTGCCTCTGCCTCCCCGCCCCCAGGGCAGGTCACACCCCACGTGCGAATGCAAAGCGGAGCTGAACCAGGAGGAGGTGCGGCAGGATGCTGGGCCCCAGAGCATGGAGGGCCCTCTGACCAGAGCGAGCCCCCCGCCTTTCGCTCCCTCTCCTCAGAAACACGTCAGAGCGCTTTCGAACGGCTGGTTTAATGCATCTTGTATGTTTCAATCCTGTTGTGAGAAGCCTCATCTTTTTTCAAAAAACAGCAGTGAAGAATGTAAGAAGCCAAAGGGTGACGAGAGTCATGATTCCCGAGTCTCTGGAGCAAAACCCCCGAATGTTTAGGGTGGAAACTGTTCAGGGGCCTGGTTCTGCCTTTGGCTGCCCTTTCCAGCCACAAAGAGCAGCAGGTGCTCTGGGGGGCAGCTCCCCCGAGACCCTTGGACAAGCTCACGGCCGGGGAGCCTGTTGGCCGGGCACTGGACACATGTGGCAGCTCTCGGCCTCGTGGGACAGGAAAGGATGCTCGGACGCCCCACGAGGAGACCGGGGATCGGCCAAGCTCCCCCTCGCTCCACGGGCCGGGGGAGGCCCGGGCACGTCCTCTGCAAAGCCGGCGGCTGGTATGTCCCCCAGCCTCGCTGCGGAAGGCTCTGGCCCTCTTTTCAGGCCGTACCTGAGAATCCAGAGTCCTTCTCCCCTTCGCTTGCCGGGCGGCAGGGCTTCCTGCCGGCGTCGCCGCCTTGCACCATCTTGTCCAGCTTCGCCCTGTGGCCTTCGGAACTGGGGCTGCCTGGCTTGGAGGGCTTCTCTTGCGCCAGTCTGGAGGGGCGACTGGGTGGAGGAGGGTCCTCCGAGGGCATGGCCGCTCCTCCCTTCCGCTCCTGCAGGGCAGACAAGAACAGCTGTCAGGAGGAAAGACGGAGAGAAGGCAAGAGTCTTAGCCGAGTTTAAATCAGGGGCTGACCAACCCAGTCGACGGCTGAGCGTGCGCCCGGACCGGCCGTGCGACCCGGCGGCTGCAGCGCAGGAGTCCGTGCCCGCTGTCCGCCCGTTGTCACAGGCACCTTCTCAGGCGATCCGAGCCCCCCCCCCCCCCGCAGCACCTGCAACCACGGCATGGCCACACTGACACCTCTGCGGGGCCCTGGTTCTGATCCGGGGGAGCCCCAGCCTGCGAAGCAGAGCGGCCCTGCGCCCAGCGACAGCCGGCCCTTCCCAGGACGACCCGAGCCCTGCCCCTCCTGCGCGCCTGCAGAGCCCAAGTCCCGGGGCCCCGGAGGAGCAGTGAGCAAAGGACAAGCCCTTCCGAGTTCCACCGGGAAGCCTTGGGGGGGGGGCAGCAGGGGCCCCCAGCACCTGAGCAGGACTCCTGGAGGGCATCCCTGCCGGCCACGGCATCCAAGTGGAGACCGCTGGCCCCTCCCCCGCCCTTTCTGGATGCGCATGGGTGCCGGTCCCCACTCCACGGGCGGCGGAGCCCCCCCCCACGCCCCTCTGCGTGGCCACGGCCCGAGCACGGCCCCGGCAGGCCACGCAGAGGGGCAGCGGTGGAGCACATGGCCCGCCTCCCGCCGCGCCATGTGCTCAGCGCTCGCAGAGGGCCAAGCGCGGCGGCTGAGAGCAGGTGGCGCTCGGAGGCAGCTGCCCGCCGGCACGCCCACCGCCCTGCTCCTCCCCGGCCGCTGCTCAGAGTGGCGCTGCCGCCCGGCCTCGATTGCGTAATGAGGCGGCGGCTGCAACAGCTGCCCGGCTGGATGCCGGCCAAGCGCAGAGTGCAGCCCCCTGGGGGGGGGGGCAGGCCACACGGGGAAGCAGGCCCCATGCCGGCCAGAACGCCTCCCTGGGGCTGGGGGCGGGGGGATGCTCAGCCCACGGCTTTCGCAGCAACGGGGGGCAGGTCCGGCACCCCAGGCCGGAAGAAGGCGGCCGCGGGGCAGTGCGGGGAACGGGCATCGCGCTGCGGGGAGGGCACGTGGCTGGAGGCGCAAACGTGCCCTCGAAGAACCTGCTGCTGGCGCGGGAAACTCAGAAATGCAGACAGGATGACTGGCAGGATGAAAGAGGGAGCCCCCCCCCTTGCTCTCCCCCTGCCAGCCTCCCCAGCAGCTGCTGGCTGCAATGCCCAGAATCCCCAGCAGGCAGCTTCCCGCCAGAGAGGGGCTTGTTCTCAGGCAACCCACTGTACGGCCTGCACAGCCGGCTGGGGATTATGGAAGGTGTGGTCAAGCACACCCGCGAAGCAGGGGGTGGGGCGGCCTACTCCTTGCCCATCCACTGCGGGACGCTGCCCCCCCGCCCCGAGGCCCTCCCCGATCGACACGGCCCCTCCGCCGAGGCCCCCCCGCTGCCCCCGCGCAGACCCACCGGCAGCCGGTGCGGCCCGCGCCCGGAGCGCAGCGAGCCGGCAGGGAGACGCGGCGGCGGCAGCGAGCCAGATTACGCAACGGCACGGCGTGTTCCCAGCGCAGCGAGGCCCGCACGCGTCGCACGGCCGGGCCGCGCCCCCTCCCCCCCCCCCCCCGAGCGGCGGGAGGACGCGGCGGCGGCGGCGAGGCGGGCGCGGCGGCGAGCCAGATTACGCAACGGCACGGCGTGTTCCCAGCGCAGCGAGGCCCGCACGCGTCGCACGGCCGGGCCGGGCCGCGCCCCCCTTCCTCCCCCCCGCCCCCGGAGCGGCGGGAGGACGCGGCGGCGGCGGCGGCCCTCGCCAGGCACGCGGGGCTGGGAGCGGCTCCCCGAAAGCGCGCAGCTGCCCCGGATCCCGCGGGGCGCGCCGCCTCCCCCGTGCCTTTCGTGCCCGCAGGCGGAACGGGGCGGGCGGTGCTCGGGTCCCGGCAGCCTGGGGCGGCCGCCCCACTCCCCGCCGAGGACGGCCCGACGCCCAGCCGCTCCCCGCTCGCTGGCGCGCCCCCCGCGCCCCAAAACAAGCCCGCGAGACGGGAGCCTCACGCGCCACCTGCGTGGAGAGGCTCCGGGGCAGGCACAGAGCGCCCGGCGCACGAGTCCACCCGGACTCGTGGCCACTGGCTCGGGGGGGGGCAGCCCCCGACCCTGCGAGCCGCAGAGCCCCTTCCCTGCAGCGCTGAAGCTGCAAAGGCCAGGCACTCGGCCGTGGCCGGTGCACAAGAAAGCAGCCCGTGGCCGTGCCACTGCCCTGAAGGTGCTGGGCGAAGGCCAGCAGGGCTGTGATCTGTGCCCAAGCTTCTAGCCCTTATGGCTGAGAAAGAAAGTCTCCAAAGGCGGGCTGCAACACTTTCTGAGTCTCCCCAAAGTGAGCCCAGGAAGGAAAGCTCCTTCTGCAAGCAGCGGCCATTCGTCCGCCTGCCTGACTCTGCAGGATGCGCTGTGCTGCCTCTCCAGCTGCTTTCACTCTGAGCTGCGGGCGAGGGCGAGACAGGTTGCCCAGAGCTCAGCGGGGGGGGGGGACCTCCTGCACGAGGGTCAGAGCCCCACTTTCCTTCCACACCTTCTTTCCCCAAAGGCGGGCCCTGAAGCATCACGGAGGAATCGGGGAGGGAATGTGGAGGGGGAGTCCTCACAGACCACCACGACACGCCAGCCAACGTCCCTGCCACTGGTTTCCCCCACTGACACTTTCCGCCACCCACAGCCAACTTCCCTCCCCCGGGTTAATCCGTTTGCTCTACTGCCACGTCCACCGAGCTCTTCAGGAGCGGCATGACCCCACGTACCTTCTCAGCATGAGCCGCTGGCCTGGCCAGCCGAGGGACCCAGTTCCGAGTCCTCCCAGAACGGAGCTCCCTGTCCAAGCAGCTTCTGCATCTTTCCCTTGCACGCTCTTTCCTCCTTCCCAGCAGAGATCGGCAGAAATAACCTTCCCCCCATGACGGGGTGCAGGGAGGCTGCGAAGGGCAAGCTGAGCTGCAGCGGGGACTGAGGGGGCAGGAGCGAGGCCCCCCCTCCCATGCACATGGAGCGATGCTCGAGTGGGGCGGAAGAGCTGCTGCCTGTCTAAATAGGGACGGGGCTTCGAAGCGCAAAGTCACATGGAGAGGCACACATACAGCTGGAGGAAGGGAAGCGAGAGGGACCCATCCAGCACGCGCGCCACGCCTCCCCGCTCGCTCGCTCGGGAAGGGGGGCGGGCGGCGTGGAGCCAGACCCAGTGAGCGCCCCCCCCCCCGCACAGAGTGACCGTTTTTTCTTCCTTCCTGTCAGGTAAAGGCCTAAACAGGTTTGGCATACCTTGTGAGCGGTTTGCCCAGAGAGAGATCTACAGGGAAAAGGAGGCTGTGTGTGGAAGCGGCAGAGGAAGCTGAACCTCGCAAGCCGCTCTTGCCTGTCTGCCTCCAGCCCAAAAGGGTGAGCGTCCTTCCATCTCAAACGAAGATTTGATACAAGAAGCCGGGGGTTCATCCTGCGTAGGCTGGGCCACGATGCCACGGGACTCTCGGGCTGCCCCGGCTCTTTCACACACGGTTCCGGGGCTGCGGAGGGTCCGACTGCTTGGCACGCGGGAAATGTGGCGCCCATGGGGCCCGCAGGCAGCCAAGCACCCGGGACTGTCAGGCTGAACGGGGCGCAGTGCCAAAGATGGGGGCCGCTCCTCTCGCTGGGGGGGATCCACCGAGGAGCCCTGCTCAGTCGGCCCGGGGCTTCCGCAGGGACTCCCCACCCCAGCTGGGCTCGGGAGCCACCGCACAGCGCTGCCAGGCCAGCAAGCCCCGGCTACAGAAACGCCCGCGCAGCACGTCCGAGACGGCCATGCGTGCAGGCCCGAGACCAGACTGCCGAGCGAGGCGGCAGCTTGGATCCCGCTCTCTCAGCCCCACAAAAATGCAGGCGAGAGGCTGCCGGGGCCTTGTGCTCTGCCTTGTGAGAAAGACAAGGAATCGCGGAGACGACGGCACTTTCTAATTCCGGCTTATTCCTGGCACCAGAAGAGGATTTCAGGCTGCCGGAGCTCCTGCTAAGCTCCAGGCCTTCCCTGTGCCGTCCACAGCCTAACCCCCAGCCGCAGCGTGCACCCACTCACGTGGGCCTCTGCAGAAGGGCGGGCCCTGTTCACCCATTTACTGGTACCAGTTCGGCAGAAACCCCAGACCCTGGCTGGGAAAAGGCAGCATATCAGAACAGAAGCGACCCCCAGCTCAGCAAATCATCACAGCAGAGGGCTTTCCATCTGCAGAGCACGTCCCTGGTCGGAGCAGCGAGGGGCACTTCTGCCAGTCCTGGTTTACTGAGGGCCAGCGACTTGCAGCATTGCCAGGTGGGCTAAGTGGAATGGCAGCGAGTTGACCCCCGTGGCCTGGAGTGAGGGCAGCCACTCAGCGGCCGGGGGCTGTGGTGCGAAGCTGGCCGTGCGCTGATATTCCGCAGTTGCCGCCTGGAAAGTGTGGCAGGGGCACCCCATGGCTACACACACACACAGCGAGAAACAGTCAACAACTCAGGGCAGCGCCACGACTGCAGGCGTGCTGGCCCTCCGAACCGGAGAAGCCACCTGGACGCCTCACTTCCCACCAAGGACACCCAGGACTGGCAGCGCAGGGGCCAGGAGAACTTGGGCGCTGCCAGGGCAAGGCCGAGGGCGGCACGGCGGCTCCCTTCACTCCCCACCTGCGCGGTAGGCCTGCCCAGAGCTGCTGCCTGGTACAACCAGTTCCCTTCAACGCCACCCACGAGCCCGACCTTGGCAGAGGGAGGCACGCAAACAGGGCAGGTGGTTCTCAGGTTGGTGGCCGACTGGTGCAGCTGGGGAAGTGGAACTGATGTGGCGGCACCGGCAGGAAGAGAAGGACCCCACTCCGTTCACCATCGCGTCACGGGGCGTTCCAGCCCGGCGGGACCCCGAGCATGGGGCACGTCGCCGAGGCCCAGCCCAGCCCAGCCCAGCCCCGGATGGCTACCGCAGGGGTCAGCCTGCATGTCTGAATGGGGCACCTTCCCAGATACCTTCGCGGGTCACTTTAAGCATGGCACTTTGCCCTGGAGCCAACCGCACATGCTCAGATGCAGAGGGAGCCGGTAAGGCGAGCCAGGCCTGCAGTCCGAATCTATGGCTTCCTCAGGCCTGGGGAGCATCGGCCAAGAACCTCCAGCTCAGCATCCTGCCAACGATCCGGGAGTCCCCCCGGCAGAGTGTCTACAGTACGCGCCCCGGGCCCCCCCCCCCCCAGCACAAACTCTAAACAAACGTTGGGTGGGAGGGAGGCCCTTGGCCCTCCCCAGGCTGGCTCAGTGAGCTGCAGGCACCGGTTGCCAAGTAGAGACGAATTCACCCCGGTTCTGGATGCCTCCAAAATCTGCACCACGTGGCAGCAGGAAAAAGGCACGCAAGCTACAAATGATCGCCCAGCAAACTGAACACTTTCACATACTGAAAGATACGCTGCAAGGAAGAGGTGAACGGCAGCTAGCACGTGTGAACGTGAGATTAAGGAGAGCCCGGAGAGCTTCGGCTACAGCGGTACAGAAATGAAATAAATACACACCACACGTGCGAACAAGAAGCCCCCAGTTCTTCCTGCTTGCTGGTGGCTTTCGGGAGCCATCATGAAGCAAGAGCACGGTAGCGAGTGCTCCAGGCCCAAAAGGGTCCCACTCAGATTCCTCCCTGCCTCTCCGTTCAGGCCGGACGGACGGAACGAACGCCGGGGAGGCATCTCCTCCCAGCCGAGTCCAGCAGAAGAGCGCTGGCCGCTCACGGCTCTTCCTGGTTAAGCGTATCGGACACCTTTTCCCAACAGAGACTGGAGGTCCCTGAAGCCAAGGAACAGAACGGTTGAACCGACTTTTAAGTAATTGCTACTGCTAAGCGCCAGCCAAACCGAAAGACCTGCCGGGTGCTGTCCAGCGCCTGCATGCGGAAGAGGCGCCGAACTCGGCGGGGAGAAGACGGCAGCGCTGGCGCCAGGCGGGCCTCACGGAGGAGGGCTGCACGTGCCGGGCAAGGCCAGCAGCGCCCGCAGATCTGTCCCCCCGGAGTGGCGGGGGGGCCCGGCCCGTCCTCCGCGCTTGGCAGCCCCAAGCTCCACCGGCACCCACCACCGTTGGCCCCACCTGCCGCCCTGGTCGCCTGGACCGGCCACGCCAGGCCGCCCTTTCTGCGTGGCCCTGGCCCCCCATCTTGCCCGGCACAGCCAGTGGGGGCGCCAGCAAGACTGAGGCAAAGGTTCGCGACAACACCCCATGAAAACACGGGGAAAAGGGGGCCGAGGCAGCCCCGAGGTGGGGCTTGGTGGGAGCGGAGCGCAGGCGTGGGGCAGCGCCGTGGCACCTGCTCGGGCCCCGCGGTCCAGCTGCAGGAGGGCACGTGCCTGGGGGGGCGCCGATGGCCGCCCGGGGGGCAGGTGCGGAGGGAAGGATGCCAGGGGCTCGCCAGGCGCACGTGGGAGGAGGGCGCAAGGGGAGGGGACCTGCGGTCAACCTGCCGGGCCCCGCTCTGCACCGTCCGGGGGTGCGGGGAGCGGTACGCTGCTCTCCCGATATCGGAGCGGGATAATCTAGACAGGATCCCGCCTGCAGTAACAACCGCGTCGCCCCAAGAAAAGCGGCACTGAGGATGGCGAGGTAAAATTCGGACAAACCTGGGAGAATGAGTCAAAGGAGATCCTAGTCCTCAACGAGGAAGGGGCGCCTCCTCGCCTGCTCCCCTTCCGCCTTCCCAGCTCCGGCGGCCCCTTCGCGGACACAAAGGAGAACAGCAGCGCCGGGAGCTCCGCCCCTGCCTCTGAGCGACAGCCGCTGCGGCCAATAGGCGCCTGCCTCTCCGGGCGCCGGGGCGGCCCCGGGGGCTCCGGCTGTCACGTGCGGCCGAAAGAGCCCGGTGCGCGAGCACGTGAGGGGGCGGGACGGGCCGCCGAGCCATGTGCGGGGGAGGGGCCTCCC